ATATATATATATATATAAATAAGCCAATTTGCACACATGTAAATGCATTTCTAAACTAAATTTTTAAAAATGGAATTGCTGAGTAAATAATTTTTGTAGTTATAATTTTTATAGGTAAAGTATTGTCATGTAAGTCAGACTTATTAATATTAACTGTCCCTCAGCAATTGTGAAAGTACTTCTTTCATCATACCCTTGCCAACCAGTCTGTTTTAACATTTTTTTAAAATTTGGGTAATATCCTATCTAATAATAGACAAACATGGTAATTGACCGTACCTTCTCTACGCCTCCCATTGGCTAATCAGCATGATATGCAAATTAACCAACAAAGATGGCAGCTAATTTGCATACTGCAGGCAGGGCGGGTCAGCACCATCCCGCCTGCCTCGCCACCATCTGGGCCTGCTATATGTAACCTGGGGTAGCGGGCGTCCCGTGTGCAACCTGACCCAGGGCGGCTGGGTGCAACAGCATGGCTCCTCTGTCACCCCAGCTTCCTCATCACAACTCCCTTGGGGGCCTAAGCCTTTAGTTGGACATCCCCCAAGGGCTCTCTGGCTGCCAGAAGGATGTCTGACTGCAAGCTTAGGTCTGATCCCCCGGGGAGTGGGCCTAAGTCAACAGGTGGACATCCCCCAAGGGGTCCTGAACTGCAAATGGGTGCAGGCCAGGCTGAGGGACCCCCCCAAGTGCACAAATTTTTGTGCACCGGGCCTCTAGTAATGAATAAAGAACTATCTCAATTTTACTTCAATTACTTTCTACTTTAAGTGAGAGTGAAGAGCATTTTATAAGATCAAGGAATAGTTGTATCTCCATTTATTATATCAGAACCCAGCATTTTTCTTTTTGCAAAGGGCCAGACAGCAAATATTTTAGGTTTTGTGGGACATACAGCTTCTTTCATAGCTATTTAATTATGTCCTTGTAGTGTGGGGGCAGCCATAGACAACACATAAATAAAGGAATATGAGTGTATTCAAATAAAACTTTTTATATGGACAGTAAATTTTGAATTTAACATAATTATCATGTGTCAGAAAATATTGCTTTTTAAAAATATATTTTTTTATTGATTTCAAAGAGGAAGGGAGAGGGAGAGAGAAACATCAATAATGAGAGAGAACCATTGATCAGCTGCCTCCTACACACATCCCCACTGGGGTTCCACCTGCAACCCAGCCATGTGCCCTAACCAGGAACCTTCTGGTTAATAGGTCAATGCTCAACCACTGAGCTACACTGGTCAGGCTTCACTTTGTCTTTATTCAATCACTTAAAAATGTAAAAACAATTCTTATCTTGTAAGGCATTCAAAAATACATGCATTTAATATTCCATTTCCTTAGACAAGGTCTACACTCTTACTAAAGACAATAATAAAATTAATGGACTTCCCAATCCACCACCATCTTCTCTCCACTACCTTATTTTTAAAACATTTTATTAGGAAAATGTTCGAATATGAGAATAGAGAATATTATGAAGAACTTTCATGTACTCTTTCTTCAACCTTAACTTGAAGAATTATCAATATTTTATTAACTTTGACATTTTACTCTTATACTAGTGAATATAGTGTTTAGCTCAATGCTTTGTTTTTCTATTTTAAATTATGTCTTTTAAACCTTAACTACAAAAAATGGAGTAATCATATACTTAATGCTATACCCCAAATGCAATATAATACT